CTGTCATAGTGTGCCTGTCTGTACCAGTCATCTGTCTGGTGATTGGTGTCGAAGTTGCCGGTGTTGTAGATCGCCACTCTACATTGTTTGGCCATATGTCCTGGTTGTCCGCATCTGTAGCAATCATTTGTTGCTTGCTTTCCTTTTGCTCCATTTCCTCCTGGTTGATTGTTGTAGTACCCCTTGCCTTTTCCTTTGTTGCTGTATCCTTTTCCTTTGCCATATCCTTGTTGTCCTTGTACCTTTGCCTATTCCTTTGTTGCTGTATGCTTTTCCTTTGCCATATCCTTGTTGTCCTGGTGTCCTTTGCCTTTTCCTTTGTTGCTGTACCCTTTTCCTTTGAAAGGATTTCCTTGTTCAACCGGTTGTTGATTGTGTTGCAGCTGTAGTTGTTCCCGTAGCCGCCATAGTCTTTGCCTTTGTTGTACTTTCCTTTCCCCTTGCGCTTGCCTTTGTTTCCCTTGCCGTTGTTGTAGCACGTTGCTCCTATGTCCATTGGCGCTGGTCCTCGGCTGTTGCTGTTGCCTGATGTGATTGCTTGTAGCCTGTTGGATGATGATGCTGCTCTGTAGTATCCTGCTTGTAACTGTAGGTGTTGACTGAGAGAGAAGACACACCACCAACAACACAGGATTCAGCAGCACCACACACCACCACAGGTGCAGCTGGACAAGGACTACCGCACCCTGCAGAAGTACATCATGGAGGAGACTACTGGCACAGAGAAGGCCAGAGAGTACACATCAAGCCACACACACTGCATTTTACACACCAGAGCAGACACATGACGGGCCAGACATTAAGCGACTTACACCTTGCAAACAGACCAAGGTACAGCCGGTAGGAGAAAAGCGCAACACAAGATTGGTAGAAGATGAATGGACAACACAGCAAGCGGCTGGACAAACTTCGAGGAACATCAGGAATTTCCAACACAACTTGAGTCAGATGATGAGGAGCAACAGCAAGGGACAAGAGCAAAAGCAGTACGAGCGCCCAAGCAACCAACACCACAGGAGGACACACCTACCCTACAGAAGTTGGTGTCCAACATGCGTACAAGCAAGAGGCAGACAGAACAATCACCCAAAGCAACACAGCAAGCTTCCAATCACACAACTTGGCTTCGGCTACAGCAAGGGCTTTGATGACAGCAGCAATCCTCACAGCAATTGACATCCAATCAGGGATCCGGGATGATCATGGCCATACAACTGACCAACAAGAGGATGCTCTTCGAGAACATTTGTTCACACAACTGCGATTTTTGGCGGCACACATGAGTGGCACAGTCGGACAGCTGGATACAACATTTGCTTGAAACAGCAGCTGTTTTACACCTGCTTTTGACACCGCGACCCACAAGGAAGTTGCACAGCTTGGTACACATCTTTTGTACAATGGCAACATCCATTTTCAACATTTCAGGAGAATGTATACAACATTATCCTGAGGAGGCGTGTTAAACACTACATGCTTTCTCTAGCAGTACAGTTGGGCTACATCCGCTGCCCATACATCTCAAGGCCTTGAGCCTATGTACAGACCTGCCTTGGTACAGCTACAGTAGACAGTACATCACTGCCCAGAGGAAAACAACTGCGCTTCACTTCACACACAGGTTCATCACATCAGGTAATTTGGTATACAGTACAGTTGCTCCAAGTTTAACATGGGTGCGTATATATATATTTATAATATTATATAGATATTCAAAAGTGTGTGTGTGTGTCTGTGTGTCTGCATGTCTGCGTGTCTGCGTGTGTGCGCGTCTGCGTGACTGGCGTCCGCGTGTGTGTGTGTGTCTGTGTGTCTGTGTGTGTGTGTCTGCGCGTCTATGCGTCTGTGCTTCTGCGCGTCTGCGTGTCTGGGTGTCTGTGTGTCTGTGTGTCTGTGGGTCTGTGTGTCTGTGTGTCTGTGTGTCTGTGTGTCTGTCTATGTGTCTGTGTGTCTGTGTGTCTGTGTGTCTGTCTGTCTGTCCGTCCGTCCGTCTGTCCGTGTGTCTGTCTGTCTGTCTGCCTGTCTTTCCTGTTCCGGCTTGCGAGATTCAAACTTCCCTCTCCTTCAGAGTCACGCAGAGCTCACACGAAACACTCCTACCTCTTAGCGCTCATAATCGACACACACTGTTGTGGACTGGATTTTAATTTGTGCTGCGGAGAGAAACCTAAGAAACACAAACGAAACCCACCTCGCGAGAAATGTTCTATGAACATGGCTGCCAGTTTGTGACCAGGGCCCTGGCGATGATTCCGGAAAAAAAAAAAACCGTTCAGGCAGGTGGACAATAACGAATGTAACCACAAGGCTGCTGCTGCTGGTATCATAGACGTCATGCATCCAATTGTTTACTATCTCCCAGGAGTGCAAATGCTCTCGCCATGAGATAAAATAAAATAAGAAAACAAACACAATCCACACCCGGCAACGTGGGAAGAGAGACAAAGACTGCAAGTGGAAATCAAGAGAACACACCGTGGCAATAAATGCAGCAGCGGCACCCCTGCTCACAAGTCTGCATAATTGAGAATCACTCGCCGACAGGTGTTGCATGCTACTAAAAGAATGGCACTGTGTTGATAAGACTTGTTGCTAGCTTTCCGCAGCGAGCAACGCTTGAGCGACTGGCTATTCCCGACATTGACGGCACCGCTCTGTCTGCACTTCGGATGTGCAGCAATCAGCAACAATATTTGCTTCCGACATACTCAAAGTGCTACACGCGCAAAACACGACTGATCAATGCGTCTTCAAATCCCCTCAACGACACGTTTGACAGACACTATCGGGGCTTCCATAAACACTAAAGGTATGTGCTAATGATGCATCGGGCAATACGAACCACACCAAACAAAGCGAAAGCGAATTCCCCAGGAGGGGCTTGGGATGATACAGGCACAGTACACGGGAAAAGGTTGACTCCAGGTTCAAGGTATCAACAAACTACAGCTGACATTGAGAGTTGACGACACTGACATGCAGCGCAAGATATGACCCCTCCCCCCCCCCGCCCACACACACACAACCACACGCACACGCACACGCACAAACACATGCCTGCACACCCGCCCGCCCGCCCGCCCGCACGCAAACACACACACACACACACACACGCTTGCACGCCCGCATGCACACACGCACCCACCCACTCACGCGCACCGCTATACAAGTCCACACGCACCCACACCCACCCACAAATCCACAGGCACACGCACGCACACACACACACGCACACACACACACACCGAAGATGCTCTTGCTGCGCATTGAGGTAGCACTTTCCACGAACATCCAGCGCAATCGCAACCCCCGATTAACAATACCTTATCAATTACACCAGGCTACCGCATTGCTCTCCCCAAGCCCTCTTTCACTTGGCTGGCTTGACCATTTCAAATCTCTTGTGCAGCACGTTGCGATTCTGACGGCTGGTATGCCTTGCAAACGTAACGACAACCCCCTTTACTGAGTAATATGCGAACAAGTGACAAAGTGGAACCCCCTGGTAGACCCTTGGACCGGATTGATAAATCCAAACACATTTTATCACGAGGGTGAATTTGTCTGCAGGGACGAAGGGATTTTTGACTCAGATGTCAGATGTCAATGAGCCGTTGCAGACACTGCCAGAGCCATTCTTTGCTGTCAATATCCTTGAAGATGGAGTGCTTCAACTCTGCACTGCCAAACTGCAGTTTAAAAGCATGTAGCGTGATACTTCAAACAACAGCTCTGCAAGTGATTCAAGCAGCTCAAACTGGTCATCACAAAGCAGTCTGCCACGCCTCCGAAGATTGCTTGGTCAAATGTAAGGTGCCCACGGCTGCACCAGCGACGCCAAGAAAGACACATAGCCCTTGGGAAGCGGAAATCATGGTGGCTGCGGCCGAACATTCTGTACACCAAAGGCCAAGGCTGAAGATTGACAGCGGACAAAGCTTTGCTGCTTTTAAGCAAAGGATGATTGAATTTCTGAAGGCTACAAGTGCTAAATGCGTGTTTCCTTCAATCGCATGGGCGCCGAGCAAGACAGCAGGAAAGCCGCCGAGTAAGAAAGCCAACCAGCCAGCCAGCAAAATGCTGGGCCAGAATCAGGTCTGCTGAAGGGCTGAGGTTTAGATTAGCTGAGCATTCCCACAGTAAAGGAAGCTAAAGGTGCAATTCAGAGTTCTTTGTTTAGGCCTCAAGTTTAGGGTGCAAGGGATGCACTGACTGTCCGCTTCGGCGCGCTAATCAAGGAAAGCTCTTGTAGCCATAGCTGCTGGGGAAAATCGGAGATCATCCACATTGCAAAAAAATGGCAATGTAGTACTGTAACGCTGAATATTAAATAAGGAACCAAATAGAACAGCGATCCGTAGCTGGCCAACCATCTACGGCAGTCAATGTTGTTTGTTGTGAACCAACTTTGGTGTGGCAACTTGCTTCGGCCCCGAAGCTCCGTAGGTACTCCGCTGCAACCGAAGTGTGCCTTCCCTTTTCAGGAACCCTCAAAGATCCCGACCTCCAAGCAGCTCAAAGAACTTGCTGCCCCTGCAGCGATTCATGTCGACGCCGCGCTGCCCAGCTTTCTGCCGTTGTATTTTGTTTGGAGTGACGACATTCCGACATTCCCATATCCTGACCGAAACAAAAACACTGCAACTTGGCACTTGATAGATCTTGATAGAATGTCATGTTGCATGATCTGCATTACTGCATTACCGAACAGTGCGTTGTGAGCCTCGTGTTTGTGATCACTTATTGGTCCACAACGGCTGCGACACGCAAAAAGGATCGAACAAACATCTGAGTGCCCCAAAAGCGTTGCATCTCGCTTCAGGTGCACCAAGTCACAGCACGGAAATCATCACTAGGCTATCAGGAATCCAGTCAGCACAACGGCATGTGTTTGCCTATCGTTCTGACGACCGAGACAGAACTAGTGTAAATAGTGCATTCTTCAAGATCAGAAATTGCTGCACGCTGTTCCTTGGCATTCAAATGGCTGACGGGAGTGCCTTGACCGGGGACGGCGCCATGCCCGTATAGTCAATGCAGGGCCCCGTGAGGATCTGGCATTCGCATCACGCAATGATAAACATCTAGATATCTTAAAGCGTTGAAGCGCAATGTGTCTTGTTTGACTCCAGATCACTCGTTCTCAGACTCTGTCAGCGGCGTTTGAGTGCCAATGCATGATGTGTTTTGGACCCCAATGTCATTCAATAAGGTCAACAAACCTTGCAGTCTTTCTGACGCCTGGAACGGCCAACTCGCCAGGATTAAGACAACTTATTCTTCTTTCTGAAGGGCTCCTGCCTCCATGCCATGATCAGTGATGAGAATGGTGTGCTCGAACTGCGCACCGAGAGCTTTGGTCATGGTACACATCGTCCTGGCTGGCAATTGAACTTGGCACTCTGGCAAGACCATGGGAAGAGAGATGACGAGCAACTTGGAAGACAACCTCAAGAGGAATCATGTTTCGTGCAAGGATAGCTCACGCCATGCACTTCCCAATTTTACACCGGCAATTGCTGAAACATCGATGCTCTGATTAGCTGCAAAATGTTGTGCGGCCTTTGGCACATCGTACGAGATGAGCTAATAGAGGTTGGCCCAATCCACTGGAGCCGAAGCAAATAAGCCTCTCAGCTCAAATGATTTTCGTAAAATTACCCACGTTCACGATTTCCACCTGGGAGTACCCTGCCTTGGCATGAAACCAATAGCGTTCGCCCCTCAAAGTACATTCCATGCCGCAGGAACTTTGGAAACACAATGTTCACAAGAGCGCGCGTTGCGTTGTGCATAATCACAGTATGCTTTTGCCAGGACGCATGGAGCATAGCCCACATATCGTAGCCTGCTTCCATTATGTGCGTCAGGTTCAAGCCTTGCGGCTCGAACGTTTCGGGTGAGGCACCAATAGTTCACTGTCTTTACTTGTGACAGGTGCCTGGCTGCTCAACTCAAAGAATCGTGCGTCTCAACACAATTGGAAAAGCATATGCAACATGTTCTCATCATGCCATTTCAGCGCAGTCTGCTCGGCCCAGGCCTCACAACGCGTGATTTGCTCGTAAACACCCACAAGAACGTCAACAATACCTCCCGTTTCTAGGGATGTATCCAACGACCCTTGCAAAATCACTGCCAATTCACGGGGCTGTTTATGTCGGAGCCAGTCCTTCGGACCGGGGCCTACAGCGTTCGTACGATTCTCAGCCCTGGCAATACTAGAGCAACACTAAACCAATAGATTGTAACCAGTAACCAGAATTAATTCATACCAACTAATACAAAATCAAACTAGACTAATAGTAGACCAAAACTCAAGCAATGCTAAGCTAAGCCAGAAAAACCGACTGAGGCCCCCAAACAGCCAAATTATTTGTGACACCCTTTTCTAAAACAGCTTCCCAAACATTGACAGATAGATCTGCAACGGTGGTACAGGGAATGATATGTTTAAGGCAGAAAAAACAACTCTCTGGGCCAGTACAAAGGAATACTAAACCAATATTAATATTGAACCAATTCCAAACAGTACCGGGCCAGCTCAAGACAGTACTACACCCAAACAAAATCTAAAGACTACTGAGCCAGTATACGCGTGGATGTGTATTGCGGTAAAAGGCGCCATGGGCCATAGTAATTTTGAATTGTTTTTGTAGTAGGATCCATTTCCAGGAAGTGATCCAGAAGTGCTTTGTTTGGCAAAGCTAGGGGAATGCTAAATATTTGTGAACTGCTTTTGTATTTGGATCCATATCCAAGGCAGTTTGATTTGCTGCCACATTGCTTTGTGGGGGGTTACACTTTCTTGGCTGTTTTGGGATTGGTGTTGAAAAAATGTTGCATAGGGAAATCATGATGTGACTTTTGGCTGGCTTCAAAGAAGGAATATTGAAATTTCGCCAACGAATAGAACCAACATGGCCTCGAAAGATGGGGTTTGCAATGGGGTCCAGCCTGGTCGGAAGGGCTGGACTGTGTCAAACAACTGGGCTTGGGATGAGGTGCGGGAACAACAAGCCTTTACTTAGCTGTCTTTAAATGTATATTTTGTCCAGCGATGTTGTTTACCTTTATTCAGGGTCAGTTTCTTGCTCATAGGTGGACAATAGTTCCCAAAAAACTTCTCCTCCTCGCTGCATGTGACATCGTGTCATATGTCCGACCTGGGGGTCTTCCTCTGAAGGGCTTTTCCCGGCTAGCACGGATCCCTGGGATGCCTGCTTGGCGTAACTCCTTGGCCTCAAAGCCTAGGTGCCTGAGCGCTGGTGCAGGACAGCCAGCCTGGCCACAACTTGGGACAGCTTTGACATATGTGTGGGGCGATGCAACGAAGCATTTGCATGGGTCGGACATCAATCAGGCAACAAAACACGTCCGCAACCCGAATGCCGCAAAACTGTGATTTGGACAAGCCATGAAACCTGCATTCGCCCACCCTGCATCAGATTGCCTCATACAATTCGCTGGCAGAAAAGCCCGCATATTTCAGCTGCTCAAAGCCTCAGCTCAGAACTCATGCTTCTTTGCAAAGTCAACTGAACTTGGGCCGGACAGTATGGTCCAACAAATTGCAACGAGCTAAACGGCGCGTTTTGCCGGGAAGCTGAAGCAGCGCTGCCTGCCAATGCACGCATCATGTTCAGATATGGCTGGCCTAAAAACTTCAAAACTGCTGAGAGTAGCTTGATGAAGCTAGCACGAGCAACTTGTACAGGGAGATTGCAAAAACAACATGTGTGTGCACAACATGAATACTGCCAGGCAATGGCCAGGTCACATAAAATGCACAAAACTCTAAGTTCGCCTCGGCCCAAGCCGGGAAGAATAGCCACGCGCGCGTGGCAAGAGAATATAAACGTGAAAGGAGCGCAACCCTCTCCAGGTTTCGGCGGAATCGAACGCGTGAAAATTGGCCTGATCGCGACGCCTTGCCGGAGCGCACTTGGACCAGTCTCGGGGCATTCTCGGACTACGTTCGGCACCGGGCCCAGAAGCACGGACGAGCGCACTTTTCACGACCTCAGTTTGCATGGCAGGCATGTCGCAAGGTCAGGTGCAGATTCCACGCACTTTGGCAAGGTCAAACACAGGCGTCGTGCAGGCACAGCACTTCGCGCGGTCAGGCACAGATTGCGCGGCAGGACTTTCGCAAGGGCGGGCGCACTTTCGCCAGGTCAACAGATAGATAAGTAGATAGAAGCGAGAACGAGAGACAGGGAGGGAGAGAGAGAGTGTGAGAGAAAAAGCGAGAGAGAGAGAGAGAGAGTGAGTGAGTGAGTGAGTGAGAGAGAGAGAGTACGAGAGAGACGGACGGCAACAAAGAAACAATGAAACGAAAGAGCAAAAGAACGAAGAAACAAAGGATTCAAACTCCGCGCACCGGCTTCGCCGGCTCTACTGGCAAAGGTTCCTCTGAGATGCAAACAGAGGACGGCTGACTGTTTCCCCATGTTTTGGGCACAAGCCACTTGCGCTCTGCGCAAGTCTCCCTGCGCAGGTTGTTGCGCGCAAGTTGCTCTGCGCAAGTTGCTCAACGCTGCGCAAGCTCCTCTGCGACCGTTGCCCCGCGCAACGTGCGCAGGGCAAGTCGCTCTCCGCAACTTGCTCTGTGCAAGTTGCTCTGCGCAAGTTGTTCTGCGCAAGTTGCTCTTGCGTTTGAGAAGCTCCCAAACCATGATTCCACGCTATCCACACTATCTCCTCGCGTAGCGCCCCCGTGCTTCTTCAAGCAACATCTCAAGCACCCAGCGTCCATCTTGGAAACTAGCTCAAGCATTTCGGCGCCGACTCACTCACTCAGAAAACACGGCACTTCAAGGCAAACAAAAACACAGCACGTGAAAGGCAACCACAAGAATCTGGCTGATACTGGGCGAGGCGGGCAGCACGAAGCGTTTACAATAACATGTACAAGAATCGCTTCCCCTCATATTAAATCATTTTGTTTCAGGCCAAAACCCCCCAAAAACAACAGAACAGGTCACCTGAGCGTGCTTCTTTCTAAGCCAATACTCGGACTTCAAACAGCCATTAACTTGTCAGGGGGCACTCACTAAAATCATGAGAACGGTGGTAAGCAAAGATATTTATTCAACGAGCGTTAAAACAATGTACTAGTAAGGCAGCTGCGTTTTCTGGACTTTCTCATTGGCAACAGCTGTTTGTGTCCCTCTCTCGAGACAATAACATATTTATTAAAGGTCTACAAATCGAATTAAATGTAACATTTGCTTTTATTACCTGGCCAGCTGGACAGAGGAAAACAGGTGATCCCTGGGAAACTATTAATACATATTGCGTTTTTGACACATACTTAAAAAAAAAGAAGTGAAAAAATGGAGGGAAGCGATTACAACATAAGGCAGGAAATAAACATAGCACAGTCAAATCTGCAGCCTTTCAAAGGTACTCAACGAAGGAAAACTGCCGAAGGGAACAGGAAAGTTGTGGATAAGCCTCAGTTGCCATGTTTGGCGTTTGCATGTCCAGCCATAAGCTCAAGCGCACGCCAGAAACACAAAGAGCTAAGAGTCGCATCCATGGGGGAAAGAAAAAACGTATCACCAAATACGATGCATATATATATATATATTCTATTGTATGATATGATACTATAATACACATATATATATATATATACACATCGTCGTCAATATTGTCTCTGATTGATCCCGCCTGAGCTCCGCAGCATTGAATCCGGCTGCACGCAGCTCAGCAGCATTGCCTCGACAAGTTCCGGCGGAGAAGCGGGCAGCTGCAACGCCAGCACTTTGGGGTCTTTCGCGTCCTCTGGGCAGCCCCGCAGCCCATGTCACGCAGCTCTTGTAGACTCAGGCCCAAGGGGAGAAGCTCCTCCGGTTCGCATTGCGACTCTTTTGGGCTAGTTGTACATAATGCGAACCTGCCTGGCCAATGCCTTGGAGCATGAGCTGCCATACAAATCCATTCAGCAACTGCCTAGTAGATTAGGCCGTTGCCTTCGGAGTGCCGCAAAATTGGGCGCTCTTTCTCCCGAGTATCCGCTCCACAGCCAACGTGATCCACATGTTGTGGCCTGCAGTCCAAAGTCTAGTAGCGCCTCTTCAACTTTCAACTAACGAAGAGTCTTCGAGTCCAGCATGTCTCACACTTTCACCTGCGAATCAAAGGCATGGGCTGTCAGCACGACATTGGTCTAGCATAAAATCGCTCATGAAAGGTCTAAATGAATTGGCCTTGGGAAGTTCAGGGTCCGCAAGCAAAGTGATTCCTTAGCGCTGAAGCCGGCTGCTCGCAACTCCACAGGACCTTGGTTTCGGATGCGTGTTCTGAAAAGTGCAGACCCCTTTGCACCCCATCATCATGCCAACTCTACTTGTCAACTTCTGATACCAAAGGGCGGCAAACGCTCCCGTCTCAGTGTTTTGTTTGATGCGCCACGTGTGGTTCCTTACAGGAGCAATCATATTGTCATGTGGTATAGCTGGAACAACAATTAGACACCATGCTCTGTGCATAGCTATCAAGGCCTGGAACTGCAAGTCTTGCAGGGCTGGGCCTCAAGTGGCTCAACCCTTTGGGCATTGAAAGCAAAGTTGCCTGCCACGGGTGACATGACATGAACCTCAGTTTGCTTGCAGTTCAACAGTTTGCCACTTTTGGGTTGCAACCTCCTAGCTCCAAGGTGTGCCCTGAGGAAGTATTGACAGTATTCATGGGCCAGCCCTGTCTGGACGCGACACACACACACACACATGAACATGTCATGAGTTGAAAGATTGTTGTGCTGCTCAACTTGTCAACCCGACAAACCTACTAATGAGCAGCCCTAGTTTCAGACGCTAAAACCAGCACACCAGTTGCGCAAGTCATAGATTCTCAAGGAGCACTTTATGGATTTATGGATGATGTTGCTCTTTGCAATTTGCTTTGCCTCCCTCGCAAAACAACCCTCAATTCGCACGTCCACACACTGAGGAAACACTAAGAACATCCCATGCCGGTACATCGATGAATGTCGATGAATCATTATCAATGTTTGACCTGCTTTCATAATTGGGGATGCTTGTATGGCTCTTGCTAGTTCAGAATCCTTGTGACTGTTTCAGGTGGCGTTTTGATAGATTGTGCTTTGCCAGAAAACAAAACTAGCAACAAGAAACAATCGGCCAAAAAGAGCGGGCCAAAAAAAGGCAAACAGTCGGAATTCCTTTGTTGTTGAAGTGGTTCCCAAACAATCAAATTCAAGATAACTTCTTTACAAACAACTAAGGTTGCTCACAAGAGGCCCTGATTCTGTTTAATGTGACTGTTTTTGGGGTCGCTTTAATTAATGTCCAACTTTTCTGGGGGGTGGGAATCTGAGAGTCAGCCTTGGCAATACTGAATCAGAATTGGCAATACCAAGATAAGCAGTGGGAATGTGAGAGTGCGTCTTGGCAATACTGAACTAGAATTGGCAATACTAATTCAATTGAGTACTGGGAATCAGAGCGTCAGTCTTGGCAATACAAATTTAGAAATGGCAATACTAAAGTAAGCACTAGCAAACCCAAGTCACACCCAGACCCCCAAAATTCCCACTAAAAAGGAGGGTGAAAGCAAACCCAACGTGAATCAGTATAAGAGTCGACATAACATGAACAACATAGATCACATGGCCTTGGGTCAAAATCCCGTACCCTCAGTGAACATCCCAATCCCCACTAAAATAGACTAAAACGGGTGGTGCGCCTACCCCAAAATGGGATCCCATTGGTTTTGACCCACAGCCACATAGCGACGCCTTCCCTGCCGCCCGGGGCGCTGAAGTCAGCGCGCAGCTGCTCTGCACTGCAGCCACTGGCCCGGAGCGCGGCCGCGTCCAGGTCGAGGGCTGCCACCTAAAGGCAACCTCCCCCAGCAGCTAAGAGGCTAAGACCATTTTCGTTTGAACCGTTTACATCTAGCCAAAAAGAAGCAACGGACGCAACGAATGTACAGGTGCGAAGAGGTGGCACAAGAAACTCCGCGCTCTTTGAGCTTGAAGTTACCCTCTGGAAGGCTAAACAAATGGTCTCAGCCCCAATCTGTGAGTGCAAAGCTCTCGCCTTGTGCCAAGGCTCATTTTGGCCCGTGTTCAGCAAAATCCCAAAAGAACAGAACAAGAAGGGACACAATGCAGTCTTAAACGTCATCGTGATCATGCTGTTTGTAACAACTCCTCAGCCTGTCTTTGTTGAATCCTGAGGCTTTCTGAAAGGTTGCAACTCTGGGTTGAGTTCCCGAAATAGTGCACAATTTGAAATATTCAAGCTGGCGAAGCAAATAAAAGCGGCAATCTGCCACATACCGCATCTATGACATTTTGGAACCACAGATTCAGTCCGTAGACCTGGCAGCCTTTCACAAACGACGTCAAGCCAATCAGACGTATTATCACAAAACACAAACTGATCCAGCCGGTCCAACCATTCCAACAAAAAACAACACGAGCTTTGTGGGCCGATTGGAGGCCTCCTGCAAGGTGAAGGCCTTCAGCAGCTTTGGGGCCTCGAAACCCAGGCTCTGCAGCTCCGAAGGCTTGAAGCCGGCCGCCTCGATCGAATTTTTGGTGGCGCCTTCCGCTCTTCGACGCGCCAACTTTCGCCCAGAACGGCGCTTTCAGCATGGGACAACTAGGTGCACCATGCCATCCATCCCATCCATCCCATCCATCCCATCCATCCCATCCATCACATGGACAGCTTTGCACGCACTGCCCTATCAGATTATCACAAAGCTCTGAGGCCTTGTAGATTTGCAGCACTTCAGCTGCATCTGCGGCCGCCATCGCATACCATGAAAGAAATGTGGAGATCAACCGTACATCATGCATCTGACTGAAAGGTGTCTTCTCAGAGTGATCCCGAAACATATTATAGCTCCTTATCGCCGTTTGTCGCCTGTGTGGGTGTCTTTGTATGCAGTTGGCACTTAATCCAGCTCATGACCTCTGAGACATGGGGCATTGGCGCCAGTCAGTTCGGCCCGACGGTTCAAAACAGTTTGAGCCTGACGAGGCTCCAACTCAGCCTGAATGATCTGGTTCTGCGGTCAGTTTAGCTGTTTGAAATTTGCTTTCACCTGTTAGACTCTGAGACACCAGAGCTCATGCGACCCCACAACATCAAAACTCGCAATATAGTGAATAGGCAATTGTCAGAGGTTCCATGCGCAGTCCAATCAGCGCGTCCACAAAATGTAGAAACGAACTGGGCTTTCAATGTACCCAGCTCCCATGCAGGCCCACGTGACATCCGATAAAAAATCTCCAGATCTTGTCCCCACTCGCTCATGCCGCCTAGATTCTGTATCAAAGGGACCACCCCAAACACCGTCCAAACACCGACCAAACACCGGCCTTTCACCGTTCAAACACCCTTGCGACAAACCACAGCTTCGGCTTGACAAACGTGGCCGGGGGTGCCAAAGATCCTCCGCATCCACCTCGCAGGTGCGGTCCGGAGCGTCCACCAGCGCCGGCTCCACCGTGAAGCTGGGCCGGGTCAAATTCAAAGGTCCCCCAATGTCCCCTAGCCGAAAGAAGCGATCGGCTACTGGAATCGGGCTTAATCTACGTACAGGGCTCAGCTCACAGTGATGGGTAAGACATCCAACGACTGCAAGTCAAGCAGAGCTTGAATCTGGTGGCAAGGTCCAGCTAAAAATCAGGCAGTTAAAAAAAAGGGGTATTGGCTTCACATACGGACAGGTGCTTAGCTCATTGGCTGTCCAATCTGCAAGGTCGATCACGAGCACTTTCTCAGCAATGTGAGCAATACCCACATCTGTTTTTGTGTCACTGCCTGTCTTGACAGGACGGCTCCCAGCTGAAGACCGGCGATGAATTACGTACCTCCTTTCAAGGGTGATATTTATTAGGAAGCGAAACCGCACCCCAAACATGCCATTGTAGTCCTTATTCGCCTCGGCCCCAAAGGGGCCAAGGGCGCTCAGATCTCTTCTCCAAAGAGAATCTTCGCTTTTCCCCTCCCCCCCCCACCCATGTCGGCTGGACCCAAAATCCTGTCCGGCGGGCCTTGAAATTTTCGGGGTTCGTCGGCGTCCAGCTCCATGGGTCCATTTTTGTCGAAAATGTGCTGACAATTGCTAAAAAAATGCTTTTTTGTCCTGAAAAGACCTCCTGGTGGCCAGGCTTGCCTGACGTGTCTGAGACTAGGCTCAGGCCCAGCCCAAAGCCCACCAGCCTCAGGCCCAAGCTTCAGGCCTACCCCAAGTCATCCAGCAAGCCCAGCCCAGCCAGGCCGGCCCCAAGGTCAGGTTTGTCTAACGTGTTTGAGACTGGCCTCAGGCCAACGGTGTCTGAAACTGGTCTCAAGCTATGCCAGCCACCAAGCCCGTCTGACGTGGCCCAGCCCTCAGTCCGGCTGCCCAAGCAACTCAGCCCAGGCTGGCCAGACCTTGACCTCCTGCTCGCGTCTGGCCCCAAATCAGCCAGCAGGCCCCGTCTCAAAGTTTGCCAGCCTGAGACTAGCCTCAGGCCCAGTCCCTCAGCCCGCCTGCTGGCGTGTCTGCGACTGGCCTCAGGCCCAGCCCAGCCAACTCGCCACCCAGCCTCAGGCCCAAGTGTGTATGAAACAGGCCTTGCCCATCCAGCAACCCGCCCAAGCACAGCTCAGCCCAGCCCGCCCAGCCCAAGTTCCAGGCACAACCAGCAGCCTGGTCCGGCTGCCCGGCAGCCAGCAACCCACCCATGGCTTCGCAGCCTTGTGGCTGAGACTAGCTTCAGGCCCAGCCCAAAAGCCTGCCCAGCCCAGGCCCCAGCGCATCTCAGAGCATGCCAGCCACTACCAGCCCCCAACTCCCAGACCAGCAGGCTCAGCCCAGTGTGGTTTGTCTAACGTGTCTGAGACTGGCCTCAGGCCAACGACCAGTCTGAGACTGGTCTCAAGCTATGCCAGCTACTCAGCAGCCCAGGCTGACCAGGCCCCTTCAGCGCAGTCTGAGACTGGTCTCAAGGTATGCCAGCCTGAGACTAGCCTCAGGCCCAGTCCCTCAGCCCGCCTGCTGGCGTGTCTTACGTGTCTGCGACTGGCCTCAGGCCCGGCCTGGCCAGCAACTCGCTACCCAGCCTCAGCCCATCCAGCGACCCGCCCAAGCACAGCTCAGCCCAGCCAGCCGAAGTTCCAGGCGCAACCAACACCATAATCCAGCTGCCCAGCACCACCCATGGCTTCGCAGCCTCGTGGCTGAGACTACCTAAGCCAACCCCACCCAAGCCCACCCGGTTTGAGACTCGCAGGCTATCTAGCGCCGAGACTGGGCCTCACCAGCCTGGGCTCAACTAGCGTCTAGCCCAGCCCAGTCCGCCTGCTGGCCAGGCCTGTCTGACGTGTCTGAAACTGGCCTCAGGCCCAGCCCAGCCATAGCCCAGCCCCCTCAGTGCGGCTGCCCAGCCCGCCGTAAACTAGCTTCAGCTCAACCAACAACCCACGCAAGCAAGGTCCAGCCAAGCTGCCCGAGACTAGCTTCAGGCCCAGCGCAGGCTTATCTGATGTGTCTGAGACTAGCCTGTGGCCCAGCCCAACCAGGCGAGGCCAGCTTGTCTGACTTGTCTGAAGCCAGCTTCAGGTATTCGGACCTTCCCAACACTGGATTTCGGTGTTCCTGACCCTTCCCTCAAACTAGGCTGGGCCGAGGCGGGCAACGCGAAGCGTTTACAATAATTTGCTTAGCTTGCCTGCAGCAACGCAGCAGTCCAATCACAACTGCTTCGAATATAATTGAATGTGTTGCCCAAATCCTGGAGGAACCATTGGACTGAATTGCCAGCCGTTTAGGATAAATGTAGCACCTTGGCCTAGTTATTCGTTATTCTTTAATCTGTGCCTATCCGTCCTTCTCCCATTCTGTGGCCTCAAGAGCCCGCAACACCAGACGCTCTCTGAGCCCGATTGCACGCTCTGTGGCCCTCACGTCATGTTCGGCTGCATCACACCCCAATCGTCGTCATTGACCTTATGCCGAAGCTCCAAGTGGCTCGTGCGCGAGTTGATGCTTGCTGCATTCTGGCCCTCTTGAGCGAGCATCGGGCATACGGAAGAATCTCTGGCCGGCCGTGGAAATAGCTTCCAATCCCATGACCTGGGCCATGACGTGCTTTGGAAGTGCCAGCCACGCTTGCAAGCCTGACCAAACGCCTGACAGCTGCTACTGGCATGCTTTCAGTGCACATGGCATGCGGTCACGCTGTTTCATTAAACAAGCCATGAACAAACTCAGACTGGAGCTTCTTTGATCTTTTCAATGTCACATTGTCACTGGAGCAACACGCAGAAAGGCGACGTGGACTCGAACCGGAGGTTGGATTGCCCCCTACCCCATCGCCCTCTCCGAACAGAATCCCAAATAAGAAGTCTGCTCCAAACCAGATCGGCTGGCCTTTGGGGCGCGTGCTAGCTCCACTTGCCAAATTGTTGCTCATTCTTTGCGCAAACCGCCGAAGCCAGGTCCCTAGCCAACCAGCGAAGGATGGACGGTGCATCCGTCCTGGAATGCCCGCTTTAGAGATCGGTCGCAATTTCCGCTCATCCGATGAAGTTGACCAAAGCACAAGCAGCAGAGCCGTCTTCAGAGGCGCCAAACGCGCTATGTATAGTTTGTGCCCGTCCTCTTCAGCAGAGGCCGTGATGGCCCTGCCCACCTCCCGGAAGTCCACGCCAGGACCACAAACCTGGCCATGGGCGTGCCCAGATCAGTTGAAGATCGTTGAAGCGCACAAAGTCCATGCGATATGTCATTGGAGCTTGTCTGGCCAACCAACAAATTGAGGCAATTTGAACAACTTCTGTTTGTGCCCCTCTTCATGGCTTGCTGAAATCCTAGTCACCGCATGCAGTGGGAGGAGCTGTGATTGAGACTCATGCGTCCGCCTGCGCTTTCTCTTTGTTTCTAGCTCAAATACCTCTTGCCTTGGTCCCGCGCCTCAATGCCGGCAAGCATTGCCTGCACAAGGGGTGGGACACGTCAGTGCAGCAGCCTTCACACGACCCCACGTATTGTTTGCATGTTGGCCACCCACTGTTTCATGAGGTCAGGTTGTTGGGGAAGCAAAGATAACAGCCAATCAGACACAATCAACCATAGACTATAATAGACTAGTAAGTATCTGCGCTGAATAGGGCTCCAGCTTGCTTATGCTTGCCACCAAACAGCCATGTCCAACACAAATAGTATGAACCGTGGAGCTGAATATGCACCGTGTATGTTGTGGTTCTCTGTGACCCAAACCTGACACTGTCTCAACCTTGCTTGAACTTCATCGAGCCGCTTCCTCTGCAAGAAATACACAGCAACATAATCTTATCCAATTAACATCATACCAGCATAAGCAAAGGTACGCAGGTTCCAAGTCTTGTGTTGATCGTTAAAAAGCAGCCTGGGCCATCCCAGTGAAATAATCGATAGTTGTGCGATACTGTTGTGAACCAGGTCTTCCAAAACACCCCACAAGTAATTCAACCAAACTGTGGTTGGATTCAGGAGTCGCTGCTCCCATTGGAGCGTTCAGTTCAGCGCCATTCATGGTCTAGTCTGACCCAAAGCCAACAAGCGCATCCGGTTGCTTTGTCAATAAGTTGGTCTTTTTTCTCAAGCACGTCTTCGACATATTGTCTCTGCACATGTGCAAGTCAGCAACCGGACAAAATCAGCAATCCAAGCGGCACCATCAGAATAATCCCTTTGAGATCTTCCCCCCCACAACACGCCACACAAGTTGCGGAGGATCATCTGATCACAAAAGTTTCTGAGTTCTTTCCCAGTCCTTCCGCAGAGACGTCATGCCTGCTGTGCAATCTGTTTCGAGTCCATGTCATACCCTACGTTTCTGGCCACTCTGTCGCGTGCTGATCCCGGCCTTCCGCGTGGCCTTGCACAGCTTCGCAGCTCGCTTGCTGGGTGGGCCCGCGAAGAACATGCAACTGGCGGCGAGGGGAGTCACAAGCGCCACGGTGCTAATATTCATTTGCCCCATTGACATGAAATGTTGGTGAGCATCGTGAGTACCCAATGTCGTTATCTGGACTCCTTGCAGAAGACGGAAAACATTGACCTAACCTCACATCCAAAGCATCCTTCGAGCTGCAGGGCCTGCTCCCGGGGGAGCAAATCCGAATGCCGTGCGTGCAAATGTGCAACGGTGCAACTGTTGTACTGTGTCAACCCCCCTCGAACAGTCAATCAGCCAATCAGTCGAGCGCCACCTGCTTTTTTATTGGGGGCTGTCCTTCATGTCCAAGTATTTCTCATGTGTAGTATTGGGTACGGTCGTTGAGTGTGTTAAGAAACCTTACTAAACAAGAAACGCGACTCTCGTTTGGCCGGCAAGTAAATTTCGCAGAGTCTCGGAGCCCCCCAAACCGGATTTGCGTTTACAGCAAGAATGGTCTACAACTACACGAGTTTCACATTTGCAACTGGAAACCTGCATGTCCCAGCATAACAGCTTCAAGCAGATTAAGATCAGCAGTCTATTCACAGAAGCGCAAAGGCCACAAGAGAGGTTTTGCACCCCAGTCGAAGCCTATTCTGAACCCAAACGGTTGGGGAACATGGGATGGCATGGCTGCAACCAGCACTGCCAACCTGCAAGGGGGGAAGCAAACCGCACCCAAATCGCACACATCTCAACCAAAAGCCAACCACTACACAAGGGACTTCTGATGTGGGAGCACTATGGCAGAAGCACAACACTCCCCGTGTCCCCCAATCAACTGATTTCAGACTGCTTTCAGACTGCTTTCAGACTGGGTTCAGACCTTGGTTTTGGCTACTCTAGTTACAGCAGCCCAAAGGGCAACAAAAAAGGCTCCACCCTTGGAGCTAAGACCCACAACCTGGAGATTCCAATGCCGCGGAATTCCTAGGCGTTCTGGTTCTCAAGGCGTTTTAGGCGTTTTCCGGTTTTTTGCGCTTTTTTTGCGGGCATTTGCCCCTTTTTTTGCGGGCGTTTTGCGGCAATTTGCGGGCGGTTCCTGTTTCTAGGCGTTTGCGGTAATTTGCGGGCATTTGCGTCCAAAACAGGGTCAATGCCGAGAATGACTAGGAATTCCTTGACGTTTGAATCTCCAGGAACATTCTATCTCCCAGAGTCTGGGAAAAACCTCAGATTTCTTAACTCCACTACAGGATTTAGACATTTGCGAGACTCTCCTTTTCTTATCACACAACATGACCGCATTCTTCCTGAACTGTTTAATCTGTGGGGACATGACATGTCCTTCCCAACTTGGCGCTTGCCTTGTGTCCCCGTGATAGCCGTTCAAATAGACCTCAACATCGAGCAGGCCGAAGAATAGACTGCACATTAAGATTGAAAAGCACAGCACAAGCTGATCTTTGCCAGCACAAGGACCGTGCGGTGGAATCGGCTCAGGTGCTCAAGAACCGTGAAAACGGCAAAGAAAACTGGCGGTGGGTCCCGTTGTACGAGTATATTCTGCTTCCGCTCGGATGCTCGTGTCTGTGTCTGGTGCTCTCCGACATACATCAAGCACACCGCGACAACCCAGGCCAGCGATCGAGTTTGTCATGCCTTTGCAAGTTTCAAGGTGTCTGTTTTGCACATCACGATTGGTTATCTTGTGGGATCCGAAACAAAAGCTCTTCTCCTGGTCAGTGCTAGCTCAGCTCAGGCCAAGTCTGTCACATCGATGTTCAAGAAGTCTCCCTCTGATAGGGGTCGACTGTCCTGCAGACTCTGGATTTCAAGGAGACTCAAGCGCAAATAAGCTCAGAACTGGCACCGAACTCAGCACAGCTGCTTAAGCGTCCGGAATGCCGTGCCCAATGATCTCATTGACCTCGAGCAGTTTGTAAAGGCCGCCAATTGTCAGAGGCTGAAGAAAGGATGCGACCAAACGCAAGCATTGCACGGCAATCAATGCCCGCACTCAGCAATCACACGGCATCGTTGAAAGACTTACGCTTTGATCTTTACTTCTGCAAACTGTGTCTCCATATGCAAAGTCTTGTAATCAACTCTCGCATACTGCATACTGCCATCCCAGGAACACTCGTGCAAACGGCCTTTGGAAAGCCGCAGTACCTCAATGTTCATGGATCGATGTCATGTTTCTGAACAGTCGGGTATCGAGAGGGATCAAAGCTTCCCCACTCAGTTGCCGGCCCCAAGGGACTGGGATAGGCTCCTCAAAGCACAGCAAGATTTCAGTAGAGCATGGCACAAATGTCTACGACCGTGTCTATCAGTTCAAGCAGTAATGCAATACGCGCTGCGCGCCTCAGACATTCTATTCGTTACACTCATGCCTGCCATGAGGCCCACGCCGTGATCTACAATGAATTCGTGGGCGATGCGGTCAATCTCGTCCGTCGTCACGCCTGCCGTTGACAAGGAAGGCAACCAAAGCACCCAGCCTTGTGCCGACTGAAACGGCAGCTGGAAGCGGGAGGATCCGCAACTTAGTGCCATAGTGCCATCACACAAGTACAAGTTCAACGGTGTGCCTCACTGCAGACTAGTCAAACGTCAAACAATCACATATGGCAACTGAGGCCAGCAGCCCTCTGCACCCAGCAACAACCCGGAACTACATACTACTTACCTCCTCGCAGAAATGTTCGGGCCAGTCCCACACGCTGTTGCTCGGACCTGACACCACCAGAGTTTGAGGAGCCCTTTAGACGACAATTTCTTAAAGAACCCTCCAGCATCAGCGTTGCCAGCACCATGCGCCTGGCGCCACGCTCTTGCCAGCTGTTTCCAGCGTTGCTCGAGCCTCAGTGCAAGCTGTACGCAACTAAGGTGACACTTGGGACGAATGGCAGTAGGCACCGCAACTACAGCAAACACAAAACACTGTAAAATTTGTAAAAGATGGGACACGTGGCGGGAAGCAAACACGGCCCAGCACAAACATCTCGCGACACTCTAGGAAGCAAACCAGGCGACAGGCGGCGCGCATTCCCTGCGCAGGCACTCCTCCCCTCTATTTTTCCTGACGCACCTGTCCTAGTATGTCTGTCCTATACAATTCTGAGCTAGACAAGCACGCAAAACCAAAAAAGGGACAAAGAATCAAAAACTAAAGAAACAACACACAAAATGAAAGAACAAAATATCCGAACGAAAGCAACGAAAGAAAGGAAAAAAATAATAAGGAGGAAAAAAAATAAAGAAAGAAAGAAGGAAAGAGAAGAAACGAAAGAAGAAAAGCAGGAATGAAGAAACGAAAGAAGGAAAGAAGGAATGAAAGAAAGAACAAACATTACTTCTTAACACATAAATAAAGAAACCAAATAATGACATAACGAAACAACGGAAAGAAATACACATGCACGAATGCAGGCAAGCAAGCAAATGTACACACAAACAGCTTAAACAAACAAACAAACAAACAAACAAACAACAGAAAACAAAAGAAACAAAACAAAACAAACAAAACAAGCACCCACACACACACACACGTGCAAACACGACAACAAACACCCACACACACACACCCCCAAAAAAAAAACGAGAGGGGGTTGTAACCACGACAAAAACGCGATTTTGTTACCATGACAAGGTGCAATGTTACCACGGCAGAAAAAAAGCGTTACAGCGACATGTTTCTTGCGGGCTTATCCCGACAAGCAGGGAAATAGAAAGGAGTAAGAAGGCATGAGAAGGTCAATAAGAAGGAATAAGAAGGAATAAGAAGGTCAATAGAAAGGAATAAGAAGGAATAAGAATGTGAATAGAAAGGAATAAGAAGGAAAAAGAAGGTGAATAGAAAGGAATAAGAAGGAATAAGAAGGCCAATAGAACGGAATAAGAAGGAATAAGAAGGTCAATAGAAAGGAATAAGAAGGAATAAGAAGGTGATTAGAAAGGAATAAAAAGGAATAAGAAGGTCAATAGAAAGGAATAAGAAGGAATAAGAAGGTCAGTAGAAAGGAATAAGAAGGAATAAGAAGGTCAATAGAAAGGAATAAGAAGGAATAAGAAGGTGATTAGAAAGGAATAAGAATGAATAAGAAGGTCAATAGAAAGGAATAAGAAGGAATAAGAAGGTCAGTAGAAAGGAATAAGAAGGAATAAGAAGGTCAATAGAAAGGAATAAGAAGGAAGGTAAGAAGGTGATTAGAAAGGAATAAGAAGGAATAAGAATGTGAATAGAAAGGAATAAGAAGGAATAAGAATGTCAATAAGAAGGAATAAGAAGGAATAAGAAGGTGATTAGAAAGGAATAAGAAGGAATAAGAAGCTCAATAGAAAGGAATAAGAAGGAATAAGAAGGTAAATAGGAAGGAATAAGAAGGCATAAGAAGGTCAATAGAAAGGAATAAGAAGGAATAAGAAGGTCAATAGAAAGGAATAAGAAGGAATAAGAAGGTCAATAGAAAGAAATAAGAAGGAATAAGAAGGTCTAAGAAGGTCAATAGCAAGGAATACGAAGGCCAATAGAAATGAATAAGAAGGAATAAGAATGTGAATAGAAAGGAATAAGAAGGACTAAGAAGGTCAATAGAAAGGAATAAGAAGGAATAAGAAGGTCAATGGAAAGGAATAAGAAGGAATAAGAATGTAAATAGGAATGAATAACAAGGAATAAGAATGTCAATAGAAAGGAATGAGAATGAATAAGAATGTGAATAGAAAAGAATAAGAAGGAATAAGAAGGTCAATAAGAAGGAATAAGAAGGAATAAGAAGGAATAAGAAGTTGATTAGAAAGGAATGAGAAGGAATAAGAAGGTCAATAGAAAGGAATAAGAACGAATAAGAAGGTAAATAGGAAGGAATAAGAAGGAATAAGAAGGTCAATAGAAAGGAATAGGAAGGAATGAGAATGTGATTAGAAAGGAATAAGAATGAATGAGAGAGTCAATAGAACGGAATAGAACTAGTAGTAGTAGTAATAATTGTAGTAGTAATAGTAATAATAGTAATAGTAATAGTAGTAGTAGTAATAGTAGTAATAGTAGTAGTAGTAATAGTAGTAGTAGTAATAGTAGTAATAGCAGTAATAAGAATAGTAGTAGTAGTAATAGTAGTAATAGTAGTAATAGTAGTAGTAGTAATAGTAGTAGTAGTAATAATAGTAGTAGTAGTAATAGTAGTAATAGTAGTAGTAGTAATAGTAGTAATAGTAGTAGTAGTAATAGTAGTAGTAGTAATAGTAGTAGTACTAGAAATAGTAGTAATAGTAGTAGTAGTAATAGTAGTAATAGTAGTAGTAGTAATGATAGTAGTAGTAATAATAGGAATAGTAATAGTAGTAGTAATAGTAGTAGTAGTAATAGTAGTAGTAGTAATAATAGTAGTAGTAGTAATAGTAATAATAGTAGTAATAGTAGTAGTAGTAATAGTAGTAATGGTAGTAATAGTAGTAGTAGTGATAGTAGTAATAGTAGTAGTAGTAATAGTAGTAGTAGTAATAATAGTAGTAGTAGTAGTTGTAATAGTAGTAATAGTAGTAGTAGTAATAGTAGTAGTAGTAATAGTAGTAGTAGTAATAGTAGTAGTAGTAGTAGTAATAGTAGTAATAGTAGTAGTAGTAATAGTAGTAGTAGTAATAGTAGTAATAGTAGTAGTAGTAATAGTAGTAATAGTAGTAGTAGTAGTAATAGTAGTAATAGTAGTAATAGTAATAGTAGTAATAGTAATAGTAGTAGTAATAGTAGTAGTAGTAATAGTAGTAGTAATAATAGTAGTAGTAGTAATAGTAGTAATAGTAGTAGTAGTAATAGTAGTAGTAGTACTAGTAGTAGTAGTAATAGTAGTAATAGTAGTAATAGTAGTAATAGTAGTAGTAGGTAATAGTAGTAATAGTAGTAGTAGTAGTAATAGTAGTAATGGTAGTAATAGTAGTAGTAGTAATAGTAGTAGTAGTAATAGTAGTAGTAGTAGTAATAGTAGTAATAGTAGTAGTAGTAGTAGTAGTAATAGTAGTAATAGTAGTAGTAATAATAGTAATAGTAGTAATAGTAATAGTAGTAATAGTAGTAGTAGTAATAGTAGTAATAGTAATAGTAGTAATAATAGTAATAGTAGTAATAGTAGTAGTAGTAATAGTAGTAATAGTAGTAGTAGTAAAGAGTAATAGTAGTAAATGGACAGAATGGTATGTGCAACTCCCATGCACAGCGCCCAGCAGCGCGTGGTCCTCCTGGAAATGTTCTGCGCTTAGCCACTGATTGAAAAGTCTGCCAGTTGACAGTGTCTCAATCTCTGCACCTGTCAAGGAGCCACGACCCATCGACGCGCTCGACACGCAGGCCGATGATCACAGTACTCAAGGCTGGGCTCCCAAGTAGTGGCTGAGACTTATCTGACTGCTCACTCACCACATTCACATGCTTCTTGGCCAGATGACAACAGAGAGGGTGCCAGCTGATCTGTGGCGGGCGATCTACTACACGCAGTAGGGCGCAGACACAGTAGGGCAGGTTTCAGGGCTGGGCTTGGAGATACACAATCCTTCAGGCCTGCAGGCTTCAGGCAATTCAATGTTGACCAGTGCCCTCAGGCCTGCCCTTGGCAAGTCATGCCCTTTTTTCATGCCCCTCCTGCCTGCCAAAGGCGCACCCAGCAAGGAACAACATCTTAACAGCCCTGCGCAAGCAGTCCTGTGTAGCATTGCATGCTGGCAGGCAGGAGGGTGTGGGTGCAGTACCAGTGCACTTAGGCACCCTCAGGCAACGAAGCCATTGGCTGGCTGACCTGCAGGCCCACCCTTGACAAACCCTTTCAGGAAGTGTGCGAAAGGTACATCCCAGCAAGTAACGTTTCAACAGAGCTGGGAAAGCTGTCCTGTGTTGAATTGCTTTGCAGGCAGGTGCAAGGGGGTGCAATTAAATTTCTGACCTTTGGTGCACTACACCTTGGCGCGGACATAGCAGCAGCGTTGGCAAAAAAGCAGCGCCTTGCAATTGCAATTGGGAAGGACATCTTGTCACTCTTTTTTTCAGCCTGCGCACACTTGAGCGCCCAGGCTGGGAGCGCTCTTCTTCTTGCACATAGCAGGCTGAGGCACCTCACGTCACTTGGATCATAGGCGCCCATCCTTTGCAGGCCTGCAGTCTTGCAGACGATGAAGTGCTTTGGCAAGGCCGCGCTGTGTAGATTCACGTAAAGTTGTTGTTGTGCTTGGTCTGCAAGACCATTTGCAAACAGGTCTGTGACATTAATAAAAAGAGAGTCTTCCCCTGGCTTTTGTCACCGCCAGTCAAGATGCAATTCTGTAGGTGGCTATTGCTGACATGGTGAGCACTGCTATTCTGTAGGTGGCTCGCCTTGGCGCAAAGCCGATGACAAGCTCCTTGCCATTGCCCCATTTGAGCCATCTTGAGTGGCCTGCTTTCAGTGGCATCTACGGCCTGACTTTGCTCTAGATTAAGCTGCTGGGTTGAGGGGGTGTCATCAGTCCTGCACTTGCATTTAGCAGTTCTCCCTTGAACTTAATGGTGCCAACAAGTCAGCAACGCAGCATGGTGGCCCAGGTCCAGCCTCGCCCACAGTGACTTCCACAGTCCGGGCCTGCAGCCAGATTGCCAGGACTTTCACTTACTGGGCTGGTTCAATTTTGTCTCAGGCTCTGGGTATTTTTCACCTCCCCTAGACTGGCTTTTTGGGACCCTGGGCTCCGGGTCTGTATGCAATGTGCGCATGTGTGTGTGTGTGTCGCTGCATGCATGCATCTGTCAATGTGTGTTTGCCGTTGGCTCATCTTCTTGTCCCTTGCCCAGTGCTGAAGCCTGGCCTCCTCCTCCTGGCGTTGATCTCACAGTGCAGGTCCCAGTCTGAGTGCCATGTGCTGACACCCCAAGACTTGCCTTACCTACAACAAGCAATTTCCATCCTGCTTGCTTGGCTGGAGCAAGGGGTACAACAGCACATCACTGAAGGCGTTGAACTGCTTGCAGGCTCAGTTAGTTTTATGTCATCACCTGGACACAAAGCAATGAGTTGGCTACAATGAGCA